GCGGCCCTGAGAGGGGCTTCCTAGGCCAGGGTGTATGGTGACTGTCGCCCCGGAGGATAGGGAGCCTGGCGCGGTTCTCATACGCCACAACGCGCAAGGCTTCCTGCTCCAGATTCGCGAATTATGACAGTAATCGGACGGCACAGACGTTACAGGCGCTTCGTATCTACTTAACTATGCCCGCGCGGAAGGAGAGTGAAATAAGAAAAGAGAGAGAGAAAAAAAAAGAATAAGAGAAAATGAATGTTAAGTGTTTTTATTATAATTTGATTTCTTGTAATGAAAAGATGTATATATTAAGTATTGAACAGAATGAGTGAGGTTCGTGTATGCAAATGTTTCGCACGCAATAGCTCGTAAAATTTAACGGTTACACAACCGGAGGGTAATACGATGGATACGGAAGTGCCACACTGAACTCACTTTGCGTAGCGGTGATGTTCGGCTATCCTGGAAGTATAATGATTGTGCCAATTATGGCAGATGGCCCTCAGGATTTTCTGTGCACGACCATCCTACTTCTAAGGAGGACTCTAGGCACCCTTTCACTTCGACACTCTGTTTCTGAGACCGTTTGAAGATGCAACTCGATACTAGTCCAAAACTCTAATGTTAACGATCGAAACTCTACTAATAATCTAGAAGTCGCACTCTAATAATCTAATGTTCTAAAACTCGAATGATCGAAACTATATTAGTCGTCGACTGACTTTGGTTTGCGCTTTTATATAGTTAGAAACGGTGGTGCTGAGCGGGAAAGGGGGTTGACCTGTCAACAGTTACCGGAATCTTTTGAATTGTTCTAGAACTTTCCATCTAATAAGATTTTATTAGATTTTACTATTTTAAAGGGAGAAATTACCGGATTTAGATGTTGACAGGGCCCTCTTAGTCGCTCCGCCCCTGTGCTGCATACTGTGCAGTCGCTGTGCGCGTTTATTCGCGTTACATTCTGCCGAATGATGTTTTCTCTTTTTTATATATAGAGTTTGAGTACAGAGCGTTTGTGCGTTATTTGTATCGCGAAGCTTCTAACGGACTTCCGCAGGTTTTGTTAGAAGCTTTTGGTGCACTTGTGGATGCGATTCAGCTACGTATTCTCGATCATAAGCGCAGTATTAGCCGCTTTCTGAATCGGCGCAGTCAAATTTGCAGTTGCAATTACTGAATTTAAATGAAATAAGTTTATTGATTACTTTAGAATACTGCGATAGATCGAGAATAGCAGAGGGCCTCTTAGTTCCCTATGGTTTATCATTCAATATTATGGGGTGCTAATTCGTCTCGCTATTGATTTAAATGGATTTTCACGCGATTAATTATATTAGGTCGCGCAAGCGCAGTACGGTTTACTAACAGCTATTTGATCACGCGCTAACCGCGTGATCACGGCGATTTCGCGGCTATCGTGACAGTTCGCGTTGCCACGGCAACGCGTCTGGCGTCGTTAAGAGTGACGTTCGCCTGCGCGCAATTTCGGCGGACGTTACACTTTACTTTATCTATCTGTTACTTTTCTTTTATTGGCCACTGTTTTCGGCCGCTGTATGGTAGGTTCTGAGGTTTATTCGCATCGCATGCCTCTTCACCTCCCGTTTTCCTCTCTCCTTCTCATTCGCTCTTGTTTCTGTTTTTCGTCCGTTCTCGCCAAAAGAACTTTTACTGTATTTTAAACGCATTTTTAAAAAACAGTCTAATTTATATTTTTGTAATGAAAAAGTCCTCATTATAATAGCTTAAATATGTATTAATTCAATTTAAAGTACTTCATCGATAAACAATTTTTATAAATTTTAGATTCTATGTGTATTGTGAATCATTTTTATATTCAATACCAATTCTTTTTACTGATTTTTACTGTCAGTATTTTTAATTTCACAGAGGACACAAGATGGTAATATATAATTTAAATATAAATAGCATGTGCAGTAGTTAAATTAATTTTTGGCTTACAAATTTTCAAGGAACAATCATTTTTTACTGTTGTACTTATTTTACTTTTTTAGTTACTTAGGTCCAATTGCACCAACGTTACTTCGATTTTAAGCGAGGCTTAAAACTCTTTCTGTGTCTTGTCTCTTTTTGGCTTTAAAACGAGACAGATAGTTTTAAGACTCGCCCGAAGTCAAAGTAACGTTGGTGCAACCGTGCCTTAAAAAAGAGAACAGAAATTTTAACATGAAACTTAAAATATGTATTGGAATAATCAATTACAATTTTCGTTGTAGGTAAAACCGATTATGCCTCTTTAATGGGGCAATCGCCCCAAAGGATAAAGATGCCGCGGATACCGCGGCTACAACTGGCACCACCGGTGCCACCAGCACCAGCACCACCGGTAGCACCGGTGCCACTGGCACAACCGGCACCAGCACCACCGGTAGCACCGATACCACCAGCACAACCTGCACCAGCACTACCAGTAGCACCGGTACCATCGACACAACTGGCACCAGCACTACCGGTAGCACCGGTACCATCGACACAACTGACACCACCGGTAACACCGACGCCACCGGCACATTTGAAAGATGCGACCAACAAAGTAGTGTTTTTTCTTTAAAAATACATAATACAGTTTTGTAATAATATTTATATTATTAATAAAATAATATTTTATTAAAGCGAATAAACGAAGCGATGCGGCGCGCTATAAATAAAGAAAAAAAAAATGAGACCAAAAGTGCCGGTGGCGCCGGGATACGCAGCGGCGCCGGGATACGCAGCGCCGGGGTACGCAGCGGCGCCGGGATACGCAGCGCCGGGATACGCAGCAGCGCCAGGATACGCAGCGGCACCAGGATACGTAGCGGCGCCGGGATACGCAGCGCCGGGGTACGCAGCGGCGCCGGTATACGCAACACCGGGGTACGCAGCGGCGCCGGGATACATAGCGCTGGGGTACGCAGCGACGGCGCCAGGCTATATGTCCGTATCAGGCTATATGCCAGGATGCAATCATGGTGAGTATAACTAGTTCATATATTATGTAATGGGATTGGGTGTCCCCGTATAAGTGGCTACCTCTGTCGTAAATTGATGCCTAAATTCTGAGCAGAATCGCAAGGCTCATAACATATTTTTATAAGACTTGTAAGAATTTTTAAATGCTTATAACTTTATACAATATTTTTACAGACAGTTTACTAGCCATAAAAATAACAAGAAATCGTAGATATTTTCGAATAATATCTACGATACATACACATAATAATATCTTACGATACATACACATAAAATTAGGAAACTACTCATAAGTTCTAACAAGTTTTATGAGAATACGTTACGGGTTTTACGATTCTGCTTAGAATTAACTCATTAGATAGACTCATACTGTCAACTTAAACAGCTGTTACTGAACTGTACTGTAAGCACAGTTCAGTGATCACTGAGAAAAATTATTCATATCAGAAAACGGAAAGATATGCAATTTTTGCACGATAAAGTAAATATTTCGATATGATAAGTTGTTGCTTCTGTTCTAACGAGTACATCGATGTATGATACAATATAATTATTTTATAAATTATATAAGTTATTTCCGTTTAATGTTTTGCAAGCGACTATTACTTTTCTAGTTTCGGTCCTGCGGTGGGGCTAACTTCCGAGTTTAGCATTGGCGAATGACGAATTGTGATGATAAATGACATGTTACATGTCAATTGTCTATGCGAGAATCGGAAGTTGGTCATATCGCAGGGTCGAAATTGAAATGGTAGTAGTCATCAGCAAACTTAAAATCGAAAAAACTTGTATAATTTGTAAACTAATTTTGTTATATCATACATCGCTGTACTCGTTAGAACAGACGCAATAACTTATATCGAAATATTTACTTTCGTGCAAAAACTATACATATCTTTCCGTTTCCTGATATAAATAATTGTTCTCAGTGATCACTGTGCTTACAGTACAGTTTAGTTACAGTATCTTATGGGTCAATTCTAAGCAGAATTGTAAGACTCGTAACGTGTTCTAAGGTATAAGCATTTAAAAAAGCTTACAAGTCTCACAAGAAGATATTATGAGCCTTGCGATTCTACTTAGAATTTAGGCATTAATTTTGACATAAAAATGGGTGGTCACTTATATGGGGAGAATTTATACCATGGGGTAGAGATGGAAAGTAATGCCCGTATGAGAGTGCAGATTAAAGGCCATGGTAGAAAAACTAAGATGTAAGGCTGAAGCAGCAAGTCTAATTGTTTTATTTTTTTACAGCACCTGGACATTGGCGGATTTGATCGGCTCCGGTGCAGCATAAAAAAAATATATATAATACGTATATGAAATAAATACAAAATAAATATATACAAATATAAAATAGATATATTGAAAAAACATTATTTTTTCTCTCCCTATTTCTTTTATTTCCATACAGTCTATTCCATATAAGCTATGTTCCAAAATTTACTGCCAGTACTGAAAATGATAGTTTACGTTACGTGCATTATAGATTTTCAGTTCACTGGCAGTAAATTTTGGAACATAGCTATAGCAATGATAATGCGCGCGCGTGTAAGATATGTATACATAAGATATGTATATATATATAGATATAAAAATCTTATGTATATATATACATATCTTATGTATACATATCTTATGTATACATATCTTACATGGTATATATACAGGGTTATCGAAAAGTATCGGACCCCCCTAATATCTTCAGATAGAATGCATTTTGGATAAATATGTCCAATAGCAAAGTTGTATGGTTTCAAGCGAGGAGTAAGATGATGACCTTGACTTTGATCTTGACCATGTCCTTTAAGGTCATTTCAAGGTCAACCTTATTTTTTTAAATGGAACCCCCTACATTTTATTGCATATTTTTATAGCTTATCTCGAGAGCTTTCCAAAACACTATAATAAAACATTTTTTCATTAAGTATTTTTTGAGTTATAAAAGTTTGGACATTTTTCCAAAATGCATTCTTATTGAAAATATTAGGGGGATCCGACACTTTTTGATTAATGTATTTTCTTTAAAGCAATTAATTGGTCTCATTATTCCGCGCACAAAAGTATTAAGGTTATGATTACTGAAAACTAAATAATATTTTACAAGATATTTTACATTTTGTGTCAAAAAATTGTTACCTTCAAACCTTTATAACTCAAAAAGTACTTAATGAAAAAATGTTTTATTATAGTGTTTTGGAAAGCTCTCGAGATAAGCTATAAAAATATGCAATAAAATGTAGGGGGTTCCATTTAAAAAAATA